TTGAGGACTTGGATACAAATTATATTAAATCTTTGCATCACTGTGAGCAGTATTGACATCTGGCGGAATCCCTACTTTTTTCAAGTTTTATTATTTTCTGTTTACTTTAGTTCCAGTTGAGACTTGGGACACTTATACTTCCAGCATACATCTGAGATATAAGAATGCCAAGCAAAATTCTAGACCATTCACAGGCTTGAGAGAGTATGGTGCAATCATGCACCAGAAATATGAGGGTACTCCCAGGAAGAAGTCAGGGCTGCGACTCCTCTCAAAGACTTGTCTTTCAAAAAGCTTTTGAAGGAACTGTAGGGAAGAGGACCACCCAAGATCTACCCAGACTCCTCCTGTGAGGTGGTTGGAGATTTTGCTCTCTGGTCGGATCTTGAGGGATGTACCATATCCCTGATGTCATCTAACTTGTCCTTCCATGGACTTTTTTGAGTTCAGGTAGGTTTTTATTTTATTTTATTTTTTTGAGATGTGTTAGTGACCTAGTTCTTCTAAATCGTGTATCTTTAGGCACCAACGAACGTTTCTGCACCTGAGGGAGCTGTCTGTCCAAATGAAAATTGTTTTTGTCCTGCAGTGATTTGGGCCACCCCTGTGGATTGTTTTTTCAGATGCAGAGAGCAGGAATTAGGCTGTTTAATTTGTCTGAGCTTTTACTAGTGCTGAAAGTAAGACACATGCTCAGCCTGTAGATGCTTGTTCGCAGAGTGCTCTTTTTGCTGACTGAGTCTGCCCAGAGGATAATGACTGGCCTTTAGAACCAGAAGGCCTAGTGCATTCCAGAGGGAGTCATTGCCTGAGATATTTAGATCCAGATGCCAGCCCAACGGCTCTTCCCTCCCATGGTGCCCGCATGCCATTCTTTTCTGTTCGGTCATTTCTCTTAATTTACTGTGCTTTCTGTGATGCCCATTCAACAGAAGATGCTGAGACAGTATTTTGTTGAACGACTGATACCTGAAATGAACACAAAATTAATTTGAGATTTTTTTTTTGTGGATACAAGTAAATGTCAACATTTTGTTCTAGGATATGATGCTCAGAAGCTGTCTGGCCATCTTTTAAAGATATGTTTATTTTTATATTACATGTATGAGGGGCTGGAGAGATGGCTCAGCGGTTAAGAACACTGGTTGTTCTCGCAGAAGACTCAGGTTCAAATCCCAGCACCCACATGGCAGCTGACAACCGTCCGTAACTCCAGTTCCAGGGAATTGGACCACCTCTTCTGACCTCCATGGGCATTGCACGACAGGGGTGCACTTACCTACATGCAGGCAATACACACATACACATAAAATAAAAATAATAAAATATTTTTAAAAATATTACATATATGAGTGTTTTGCCTGCATATGTGTAAGAGTACCCATGTTGTGCAATGCCCTCAGAGGTCAGAAGGGGGCGTTGGATCCCCTGGAACTGGCGTTAAGGAAAGCTGTTGGCCCCCATGTGGGTACTGGGAGCTGAACCTGGGTCCTCTGCAAGAGCAGCCAGTGCTTTTAACTGCTGAGCCATCTTTCCAGCCCTATGTCTGGCATCTTCCTCAGTGGGGAGTTCAGCTCCCAAGGTTTACTGAACAGGTTGGCATCAGCTTGCACTGCTTGCACTCTGAAGCTTTGACTCTTCTAGTACTGTGTTTTTAGTAAAGTCTCAACACTAATTGAGTTTAGGAATATAAGCTAATGTGTGGGTGCTTAGCATGCCCAGTGAAAGCTATGGCATCCTAAAGGGTATACGCAGAGCCCTGCTTCTCGGCTGCTTTTTTTCAAGAGCCATAGACCCTTGCCTGCTGATTGTGAAACATCTGGGATTCTTATTTAAATTATAGAGTAAATTAGAGAATATGTACCAGTGGCAGAATTCAATCCAAAATAAAAACCAATGCACATGCATTCTCTAAACCGTTCTCAGCTTGGGTGAAGGTAAACTGAGTATCTAGTTCTTTTATTTCCCCACAGAAATTCAGGGTTTTCTTCCACCTTTTATTTTCTGAGACAAGGTCTCAGTCTTGTAGCCTGCTGGAGTTACTGTGTAGCCAGGCTGGCCTTGAATTCATGGCAATACTTCTGCCTCAGCCTCCCAAGTGATGGGGTTACAGACAGAAGCCACTATGCCTGCTTCATTCCCACCTTTAAAGGAATGTATTTTCCCTTAAAGCTCTAAGACTCATAAAGCAAATGATGAAGGCCTTCAGTTTATTGATGACCTAGCTTGCTTCCTGTCTCCCGAAGGATTCATGGCTCCTTGGTGTATGTGACCATGGACTCACGATGCCTTCTGGCTTTACAAGTCTGCCAGTGTGGTTTTGGTTTTTAAAGGAGAAAGAATATTTTTAAACTCGAAAAGTTTCAACTCAAAGATGGGATAAAAAAAATGAAAGTATATCAAGGAGACTTTAGATTCTATTACATTTCAGAGTGAATGTAATCGCTCTTCCTAGAAAGGGGAATCCATTCTGGTTTTCACCTTGAACAAACAACCATGAAGTTCCTATGTAAGCTACTGTTAGTTTTCTTCTTTTCCTTCTTTTAAATTTTCAAGTAACTAAGTGGCTTTGTTACTCATGTGGGAATGGAAATCAGCTCTTGGCATGAATCATTTTAATTGAAATCAGTTTGTGGGCTTAGTTCCTATGCTGCTTCTCAAGTGACATCACTTCCTGTCCTTTTCCAGTCCTCACTGGTTTTCTAAGATAGGAGTAAGCTAAGTATAACATCAAATCTTAAAGCAACTGTGCACCGTTTCCTGACCCACTTGGAATATTTTCCAAAGTTTTCACCAAATTGTTTTTTTTTTTCCTTTGTATACTTGTAGATAGCTTTATGGTTAAAAAGCATTTGGCAGAGATGTTTTTAATGGAATCACAGGAGCCTAAAGTTTGTGTGAGTGATTTGCTGAGTTGGTTGATTTAACAGAGGAGTTATTTATGCTTTTATAGATAGAGAAAAAAGATACAAATATTTAAATAATGGTCTACTTTGGGCTATACTTAAGACACAAAGGACAACATCTCAGGCTCAGTTGTTCCTGGGGTGTAGCTTTTGATGTGGTCACCAGGTAGTGTGAGCAAGGCACATGGAGTTAATGGAGACACTCTGGGCACTTTGGGGATATAAATAGCAACTATGGCAGTACACACTCAAAGAAAATGGGTTAGGAAAAGAAGAAATAATGCAGCTACACACACACACACAGACGTACACACCACACAGTACACATATACATCACACATACGCATATACATGCACACACATACATGAACCCACATGCATACACATACACACATACATACGGATGCACACACATACACATATACACTCATACACACTCTCACACACACTCAGCTTTACCTTTGCCACCTCCCATCTGGTTTGGGATGGAGGATAGAACAGAAGACAGGACAGAGCGAGGGAATGAAGAAACATTTTAATGGACCTTGGAGACAGGTGTGGTTAGGTGAGACTTGTACTTTGGGTAGTAAGAGTTAAGGCAAAGAAACAGTAGGTAGGAGGGGATTCCAGCAAGAGACTAGCGCAGGGTGCCTGACATCATACGTGGTGCATGCATAGTAGGCATTCGGACATGTTTGTTGAGGGAATTAATGGTTGGTTTGTGGACCAAGAGACAGAGTTTCAGGAGCTCTGAAGGGCATGTGGGTCAGCTCAACAGTCTTGAATGCTGACATGGAGGCAGTTTTTGCTTCAAGGAGAAAAGGAGCCTTCCACTGTATTTCAGAAAGTGTGCAGCTGTTCTAAAGGGCATCAGTTTCAGTTCGACTTCACCTTTTCTGTCTCTGAGGGTATAGTGAATCTTCCTGTTCCTGACTGGGATATCTGCAGCTCCTTAGAGCTTTTCCCCTGTCACCAACTAGCCACTTTTTATGACTGCTGTGAAGACCTCTCATGGAGGAGGCTGGCTGTGGGGAGAATTCTGCTGTACTCCAGGGAGACAGCCCAAGAATGGGTATAGCAGTTGGTTTCAGCTCCTGCTGTAAAAAGACAGCCCTCTGTTCTCCACTGAGTCTTTTTCCCTGGTAACTAGGAACTGACTCCCTCAACCTGAGGGCAGGACAGAATAGGCCATACTTGTGGTGCCCTGGCCTGGCCTCCTTGTATCAAGAGGATTCATGACTTACTCAGCCAAGCTTTTAGTCTTCTCTGGGTAGGATGGTTACTGCTTCTAGAATACTAGGGACCACCCTGGCCTTTTGGAAGTGCCACCAGCATGCCCCAGTTGCTGAACTGGAGACGTATACACGTGTGCCAGAGGAATGATCATGTCTTGGACCCTCCCAGTGGAGCCTACTGGCCATTTTCAAGACCCAGCTTCTTCTAATGGCTCAGCCCAAGGCTGTCACCCACAGTCCAGGGCCTAGAAGCACACACTTCTGTAGCTGAAAATGCGACAAAGAACGAAGTTAAAATACTGAGGGTCTCCTTTAATTTAAGGTTACAGTTTAAGTAACCAGTTTTTTTCTGAGTCAGTCTGCCATCATCAAGCAGTCTGGCCTGGCTATTAAATGCCTTTCTAGGCATTTTGTTTTTTCTACCACCAAAATTTCTTTAACAAAATTCTGTGTAATTTATTACTCGCACTTTCCCCTGGCTACTTTAGACTCTGAGTCTCTTGACAGGAATCATTGCCATCACAACCTTGTCTTGTGTGGTTAATTCAGGCACGACTTTCTGCTGGTATAAATTACAGGAATGACACTGAGTTATAAATTTTGCTAAAAGAGGGAAGTCATTTAGCCCCCATTAAAGCAAATGCCAAGAAACAACTGCATTGCGCTGTAAATGGTTTTATATACAAATACTATATTTAGCCTTGTTAACTAGGACATTTCTGCATATCTGCACAGAAATATGAATTCTGATGAATCACTTTATTCTCTTGTCAAATAACAACAAATCAACCCTAGTGAAATGCTGCAATACATGCCCTCAAACTGCAAAAATAAATCATTCTTCTTTTTCTCCCTCTAGTACAACACTGTAATATTCGCTGCATGAATGGAGGCAGCTGCAGTGACGACCACTGTTTGTGCCAGAAAGGGTACATAGGAACTCACTGTGGACAACGTAAGTGAACCATGCACGGGTCGTAGATGCTTGTCCATATGTAGACTTGTGGAGCTACGAGCACTTTCCAGATGTCTGGGGACCCTTGCAGGTTAACAGATCACCCAAACACTTAGCTCCACATTTCCATTCTGAGTGTTGATAAATTATCATTCACTTTCTTCTCATTCGCCTTTACCACCCTCCTTGCTCTGCGCTTTGGATTTGCAGGGTACAGAAGGCCTTAAAAACTTTGCAAACGATCTGATTCATAAACTATACAATTCATCCTTTTAAAGTATACTGCTCCATAATGTGAGTGTTCAACCATCACTGTAAACTAATTTTAGAAAGTTTTCATCACTTCAAAAAGAAATCCCAGAAATGTTTATTGTCCATTCATTTGCTGATTTTCTCCACCGGAATTGTCAGCAAACATCTCAAAAGTATTTTAAAATTAATTTCTTCATTCTTTCCAAACATGTCCTCGCTATTGATTGATGCTGTCTGCATCTCTCCAGTTCCTCAAGATGCACTGGGCTGCTGTAGTTTCATTACAGGGTGTCCAGTTTGCTGGTTGATTCACAAGCACCATTATGTCTATTCTCTACCAGTCCCTGTACACTGCAGAAGATGAAAATTCATTTTTAAAAGGTTTTTTTTTTTTTATTACTGTGGGGTGAAGGAGCCTTAGCCAGGCTGATAGCAAACTAGGGCAAAGACCCCCATGGTGGGCAGAAATGGCCATCCTGCTGTGTGCAGTCCTTGGCTGAGGGTATGTTTCTGGCATGAATACTGTAGGAACTCTGCACTGACAGTGGCTGGAAGCTGCCTGACAGCTCAGCTCACAGAGGACTCCAGACTCAACCCTATGGCTGCCACAGGGGTAGGAGCAAAACCAGTGGAAAAGATATAAAGCACAGTGGATTTGAATGAAATGAGTAGGAACCACTTGAGCTGGGCTTGGGAGAGAGGGGGAAACTTGCAGAATTGGCAGAGAAGTGTCTACTCCCCATGATGAAGATACCTACCCTCAGGCATACAGGATAGAGAGAATGATGCAGGGAAGACCTGCTCGGGACTCGAGCTTTCAGTTCTTAGGGCAGTTCTTTTATTTTTCCAGCAAGTAACGTGTTTCTGCTTCAAGTTCCTCTGGACTTAATTTTGTCTGTAGAGTCATAAATCTCCTTATAGCATAAACTAGATCCTCACGTCAATGCATAAATTGCTGAATGCCAGTATTGATGTTTTCTCACTTGCAGTTATTTGTGCCACATTTCTGCAAGGATGACCTCAGCAGGAGCAATGTCCCCTGGAGGGAGTCCTCTCAAAGTTACACATAAATTATAAGCAAGAGTCCACTTGCTCAAGTGCGGTGAAGCTGGTTAGAAATCACCGTGTTAGGAGCACAACTGGCAGAATTGCTCAGAGGCTGGGTGTGATGAGACAGTCCAGATTGACCCGGCACTGGTACTGAGTCACCTGTTCAGGGAGCTTTCTCTAAAAGACCTGAAGATCTGCAACTGTAGGGTGACTGTTCAGATTGTATTTGTCCCCATTTCTAGGAGCCTAAGTACAGCCTCATTAACCTTTTCTCATGTAAATCTCTCTCTTTACCTCGCAGCTGTCTGTGAAAGTGGCTGTCTCAATGGAGGGAGGTGTGTGGCCCCAAATCGGTGTGCTTGCACATACGGCTTTACTGGACCCCAGTGTGAAAGAGGTAAAGCTGTTTTAGATACATCTTTGCTCTGGAAATTGTTACTGAATATATTAATGCTGCAATGAAATGTTTCTTCTAATCATGTGGCTAGTAAATACTTTTTTAAAAAAGTTATTTGTATATAGACACTCACTAATGTAGTATTGACTTACCAGACATTGAGTTTGTGCAGCTCCTTTCTGAAGTTTGCTGAGCTCTGAGGGGTTGTGAATTGTCATTGGAAAGGTCTCTAAGATGGTGAGACAGGGGGCTGTGAGTATTTGCCACTGGGCAGTTTTTGCCAGTGGAATGCGGCATTCCGTGGTGAGCTAATATGTAAGTAGAGTGGCACCGAGATAAAAAGGGGAGATTTTCCCATAAGGGAAAGAAAGGATTGAACTTCATACAATCCAGGCAAATTAGAGAAATGCTCCCTGCAAACATACATGCAGAAAGGGGAAAGTTTAGAATGAAAAGCACAGCTGAGTGAGTGACACTGTTGGGAGCTGAGTGGCCAGCTCAGCATGCACAGCTGAGTGACTGTGGAGTGGGCTGAGCTCGGTGGTGTGTGCTCCCTGCTGGGGTGAGAATCACCCTCACTTTTGCCTCTGAAAAGACCTGGCCTCAGAGATGTCCAAGGGATGGCCTTAAGACGAAACACGTAATGAGAAGCTTTTATTTAACCTGGATTTTCTGTTTTCCAGTTTAATGCTCACTGCTGCTCCCAATTAAAATATCTTGTCTGATCTGCTAGCTGTATATGCAAGTATGATATTGAGATATGCACAGATGTGTGATATTCCTAATGAATGAAGGCTTCAACAATCATCGTGTTTGTATATTCATAGCCATTTTTTATCATTCCTAGTTTTAACTTCCCTTATCTTATAATTTAAAATACTGATATTCTTCTTTAAAATGTGTGTGTGATTTGTTGTATGTGCTTATGTGTGTATGGGTGTAGACGCCCATACACACATACGCAAGCTAGAGGAGGAGGTCAGGTCTCCCCCCTCTGTCCCTCTCTACCTTATTTTTTGTGATAGGGTCTACCACCCAACTTGGAACTTGACATGTTGGTATGACCAGCTGGCCAGGAAGCTCCCAGGACCTGTCTTTGCCCCCAGAGCTGGGGTTACAGGCATGCACAGCTAAGCCCTGCTTTTGTGTGGTGCTGGATATGTGAACTCAGGGCCTTTTCCTTGCACAGAAGACACTCTTATCCATTGAGTCATATCCTCAGCCCCAATTAAAGTTTAAAAGGTACATGTTGTATAAATTGCAGTTGAAAACTCCTCAGGCATTATCAGAGTTGTAATGATCACTTTTATCCATAGTTGTATAAAGATCTTCTTATTCAACGGCAGAAGTAAAGATTAAGTATCAGATGTCTGACTTAAAGCATAGCTGAGAAAAATAACGTATATGAAAAGTTGTTTATTTTCCCATTTGTTCATGTTCACCTAAATTCGGTTATTTACTAATAAACCAATGATACACATTTTGGCAAGCAACTCTAAGGCAGTTGCTATTACTGCTGGATAAATTACATGGTATTTCTGTTTATTGGACCACCCAGGATAATGCTGTGTGATGCATAATAGATGTGGTCATTGTACTGCATCTTGGTGTCCTTTTGGAGTCTATTTTAAATGGTTTCTTTTAATAACTTGCACACTTGGAGCTAATATACACCCAGTGGCATCCTGAGTAATAAGACAACTAGTTCTAGTGGCCAGCACCATTCTGTGGCCTTGCTGTTTACAGAGGGAGGATCTTGTAGATTAGAATTGTTGATGTGTGTTGAGAGTGGTATGCAAAGAGAACTTTTCAGATGGTGCTGCTGAGTTTGTTTTGGAAAAATCATTAATAAAATAAACCTAAAGAACATTTTACTTGTAACAAAATGGTCAATAGTTTTCTGCAGGAACTGATGTTCATGCAGTCTGAAATGAAAAGAGTATGTTGTTGAACCATGCCACAGCTACTACTTGAAAGATTTAATGTTTGCCAAAGATTAGTGAATGACCTGAATGAGTTGTTATTAAATTACTAATCAAAACTTGCATATTTCTCAGAAAGCTCTCCAGAAGTTTAACTGTGTTTCAGGGAGAAAGACCATAATGTGTGCTGGGTATAGAAGGATGTGGCTGTAAAGGGTTTTTACAGTAATGACTATGAAAATGAAATTAGTCCCCATCTGGCAGCTTTCCAGTCACCGGTGGAAAATGGAGGTTGGGGGACAGGAAGTATGTTTTAACTATGACTCTCCCTTGCCCTGCCCATGAGCACAGCACCAAGATTTAATGAGGGACTAGAGACAGGGGCTCCTCTTCCTTCACCACATGGGGGAAGGTTGCCTTTTTCATTACAAAATTGCATTTTCATTTATAGAATCTTCACTGTTGTTTGCTCTTCTGAAAGTCATCTCTCTAATTAACAAGGCCACATATCCTTTTATCAGTTGTGTTTGTGATTTCATGAGTGATAGATAAATGTGTAGAACCCATCATGACAATCTCTTCTGAAGCACAGGGAGGCATCCAGAACTACTTCTTTTGATGAGCTGTGTTTAAGCACCCAGGCCAGTTGTGTTGTTTTTACTGGGATGTGGTCAGAGGATGAAGCCGATTAGAAGCATAAGTACGAGTAAGGAGTTTTCTACTGGCCCTCTTCAGAGCCTTCCTTGGGGTCAGAATGTGAAACAGGCACACCCCTCTTCTACATCCTGATGCCTTTGTTCTGCTAAATCCTTCCCAAGTCTCAAAGGTAAAGACAATACTTGGATTTCTACCAACTCCAGAAACTTTTTTAGCTGTTACACTGCTTATCAGTAAAGAGCAGGGGAAAGTTAGGTTGAAAAATTAGCAGTGGGGGCACAGGTGGCAGAGGAAGAAGGGGAGCCATGGAAACAACCCCTGCCGCAGGGGCTGGACGCCAGCGCTGACAGGACCTGCCTCCCAGGGGATTCAGACCTAGTGAAACTGGAAGGACTTTTTTTGTTTGCATATCAAGACAAAATGGAACAAACAAACTAGGCTGGTTGTGATTTCACCCCATTCCTGCCTGTGCAGCTGACCTTTGAGAAATCATGGCCCTTAGTTTTTCTAATGATACAAAAATGATCTTGTTTAGATAGCTTTATAATAATTTCATTTAAAATTTTCAAAAATTATGCCACATGATGCAACCAATACTATTCTAAAATTCCAAGAAGTGCATTGGCTATACTGTTTAGTGAATGGAAGAGACCAACATACAGCAATCCAGAGCTGCAATGGCCACATGATCCTCTCTGGATACACCACCTCATCACAGCAGACATGTTGCCTTCACTCAAGGCCTGTTTAAGAGCTTCGTGGAATCAGAGGTTGCTTTTCTTTCTTCAAATTTTTTTTTCAAGACAGTTGTGATAGCCCAAGTTGACCTTGAACTTTCAATCCTCTTGACTTAGCCTCCCACATGCTAGGATTATAGGTATGCACCACTATACTTGGCTTAAAATTTGTTTTAAATAAATTATATGGTGTGTATTTGAGGTTTACAGGACGGTGTTATGAGGTACATACATGGTAACATGTCTGTTTTAATAGAGCATGTTAATCTGTCTTGTCATGGCTGATTAGAGCAACTAAAATCTACTTTTAAAATATACTAATAGAACACATATTTCTAAGTATAGTTATTCCAGCGTTATTGACAGTAGTTAGGGTATGGAAATAAATGAGTGTGCATGGATGAATGGATGGGTAGAGAAAATGTGGCATGCATACGTGCAGTAGACTATTACTTAGTCCTTCAAAAGGAACCTGCCAGTTGCCACACATGTATAGGCCCGGAGAACATTCTACTAAGAGAAATAAGCCATATTCCAAAAGCCAAATATTTTACAATGTCGCTTAAATATGAAAACGAATACAAAATTCAAGGCAGAAAATAGTGGCCGGTCAAAGTAGCAGATAAATAGGCTGAACATGTCAAAACTTAAAGAGACTTTTCTTGTGCGTTTTTCTGTAGGCATTGTTGAAATGTAGATTAATTTCCTTTTCCTCCTGGAAGTTTTGTAGAGCCGTGTTTCTCTCACTATTTTATATCATTTTAAATTGTAAGTGGGTATCATTACTTTCCAGAGTAAAGGCTTTGGACTAACCCTCATTCTGCTAGGGATTTGAAGGCAAAACTCTATGAACTCTGTGGATTTTTTTCCCCACAAGGTGTCAAGTAATAACCCGTTGTTACTAAAATCTGTTGAAGTGTTCTGGGAGCTTCACATTTGGAATTTAGTCTGATGGAAAACAAGTAGCCAGGTGAAGAAGACACCAGAAGCAAAGTGCCCTGCAGGTGATTCTAATCTAAAGGTGGCGTTATAGTGGTCATTGAATAAACAAACCCCTGTTGACAAAGACATTTCCTGGGTGAGTAACTGTGTTCTCACAGGGTATCTGTGCCACGCAGGGCTGGTGACATGCAACTGGGAAGCACCCAGTTTCCATCTCATACTCAATGTGAGTCTCTTCCACTCTGGGCTAGTTTTTCTGTTGCGGGAAATTTTCTGGCCCCTTTCCAGATTTCTTAATGTGGGCAAAGTGTCACATGTTCTTACCTTCACTTGCATTGCCTTCATTAGGTCTCCTGCCTCCAGTGCCCCCCCTCCCCTGCTGCCCAAGGAGCCTTCTGGGAAAGGCCCCGAGCTCCACAGCAACCTTCTTTTCTAGTGACCAATAGCTAGAAATACTTGTACTTTTTTTTCAAAACAAACTGCTGCGTTGCAAACCAATTTTGGCACAGTAAAAATATGTTTTGGAGCCACTATCTATCTTTTGACACTCAACAGCCCCCAGTGCTCGCATGTCCTCCATGGCAGGAGCTATTGTACATGTCTTTGCAGGGAGCAATCATGAAGCCTCTCTGGTGACTTGGCACCATAAAATGAACTTCCTCCAGTTTCCCAGAAGTACTTATGCAGTTTGGTCCTCTCACGGCCTTCCTAACTTGGACTTTATTACTCTTAGGAAATCATC